GGGGGGGGGGGGAGAGATAAAAATCTTGTGGGCTAGAGGAGAACAGATGATATTCCAAATTAGCCCTAAATAGGATGTTATCATTAGTACATGGTATTTGTCCATAGTTACTCATGTCAAACAGTTCCAGGAATTACTGAATAAATTAACAAACAGCAATTGTTTTGTGCTCACTGCAATACTAAACAAAAATTGGGAGACAAGACATATCATACAATCCAAAGAACAGACTGACTAGAATTTAAGCCCTTTATTTCAGAGACAGAAAACGCTACATAACAGAAATGGTTTCAGAAGAATTTGGAGTAAAAATTGAAGTAGGAAAAAGTCACTAATCTCTTCAATTGCCAATAATCTGACAAATTGCACCAAAACACTGGAACTATTTTCTAGCACCATGGTCCACCACTGACAGCTTTTAATAAAACTGCACTAGAGAAATTCCAAAAGACAGCAAGTGCATGTGTTACAAGCAGCATTCAAAGATTAAATGTTTAGTTAGGAAGAAATTCAGATCAAAAAGGAATGGAAAAGAAAGCAAAAAATTAATTATCTAAACATAGCTAGGGCTATTGGAACACATTAGTAAAACACATCCTCAATGTGGGTCTTGTTCAAAAGAATTGCATACACATTCTAGATTTCTAAAAGCTTTGACATTACTTGACAGTCAAAAAAATTAGCACTAGCACATAAATGATGCTCATAGGTGTTTCACAGAATGCTTCTCAAAATCAATCACAGAATGCTTCTCAAAACCTATCAAAATATTCAATGTCAGTCAATATTTTCATTGATAAATTAAAAGAAAAATCACCATTGGTAATTTTCCGAATAAAAGAAACAGGGTAAAGCCTGCACAGTAAAGTAGAGCTATCTTAAGCTTCCTTTAAAATAGCCAAATCTGAAGTTATCTATCAGAAAGAAGAGGGACCAGAATTACCAGATCTCACTACCAAAAAAAAAAAAAAAAAAAAAAAAAAAAAAAAAAAAAATATCAAAAGATCTTAGGCTAAGATCAAAATGAATGACAAAAATTAATGGTTGCAATCTGATACCAAACAAAGCCACATAAAATAAATTAAACAGGAATAAAAGTAGACACCTGTGATAGTTAAAAGGCAACTCACCCTCACTATCAGCAAGACACAAAGGTCTTTCCAAAGCCACAGTTCTAGGAAATCAGGGTTAAAATAATCTAAGAGTTCACCGCTCTCACAAAAGATGGACCTGCTTCCTCTTCTTCCTCAACTCTTCCTCAATTCCCCACTAAGTAAATTCAGCCCACCAGATGAGGAAGAGAAAACAATAATAAAGACAGCTGAGAAAAAGTTTTCTTCCAGTGTAGAGAAATGTATAATCTCAAGAGATGGTCAGAACAAGCAAAATTCAGCAAAAGTCAACTACTAATTCAGCCCTCTCATTTTACAGGATAGCAGCAGAACTGCATGCTTTTCCCAAATCCAAGCTTTGGGCCACTTACAGAGATAAACGTATAAATTAACAGCCCGTGATAAAGACGTCAGACTGGCCCTTTCCGGCCTCCAATTTCATGAGCATGGCTCATTAAACATGAGCAGCAGCAAGGACACAAGTGTTTCAGGAAAAGAATTTGTAAAAAAATATAATGGGAAAAATTCTCCAAGAACAATGTTACATTTATACTTCCAAATAACAGGGGCCTTCCAACTCTCAGTTTTGACCCTCCAGTATTTGAGAAAGGAAAGAGCTCGAAATTCAAAATTATTTAAATGTCTGGGGGATGGGACTCAGATAAGCAGCAACACAGTAAGAGCTGACAGTTGATCAAGACGTATGACTAACAGCATAACTCCTTCACCCCCCCCCACAAAAAGTGATTTAGGTTGCAAAAGCAAGCATGAACGATTAAAATATCCAAGTTTACTGGGTTCATTTAGCCTTTTTTCCCCTCTTCAAGAAACTGTGTCCTATACTAAATTAGGCCGACAGTTAAAAAAAATCCAAGCAATTGCATTAGGCAACAACATATCCATTTGCATTTGTACAGCATTTGCAATTGCCCAGGTAACCACAGAACTTAACACTTCCAGAGATAGCTTGGCAATCTAAAAAGAGTAATTAAAAAATAATAATAAAAATACCAACACTAATATTCTATCAGATACCATTGCAAAAAAGACATTTTCTAAAATGATCAGCAAGATGAAACTTTGGACCCTCCAGCACTGCACCTGAAACCACTTCCCTTACAATTTCACTAAAGAATAAACAATATATTTGATCATATAAATTATTATGGAGCTAATAATAAACACAGAAATTAAAACTTTTTTCTAAAACTGAATCTTTATGTGCTTCAAAGTCTCAGCTTAGTGAAAATATAAAAATATAACTTTTCTCAAGTCCTATAAAAATAGCTTTGCCAAACGGAGTTTACCATTGGCAATAAGCTTCCAACTTCTGATACAATGGCTGTTTGACTCTTTCAAATTTTCTTAAGTAGTAACAGTAGGACAGCTAAAACCAGATGTGACCAGCCAGCATCTAAGAGACCACCTATTCATACCATGAAGTCAGTAAAAGCAGAAAGTTCAGAAAACATTCTAATACAAAACATTTTGCTGTAATATTGTCTTCAGTATTTATGAATACCCAGAGTTGGGGCTGGGAGGTAGCACAGTACAATGATGCAACCTGAACGAGTTATTTTAATTGCACTCTCAAACCAGATCAGTTCTTTGATGCAGTTCACCATCCAACCCACAAACAGCTGTGTTGGCCTGACAGATAGCACACATCCCACACCAGCACACAGCAGAGCATCCTGTATAACGAAGCTGTTGTGCAAACTCCTTATTCACTCTTACCTCCTAAAGCAAGGAAAACGACCCACTTAACCTAGTAGAAAAGCACAGAAGAGGAAACTGATCCCTCCGGAATGATGATAACCGTAGAGTAGCTGTTTCACTCCTAGGGCTCAGCTCAGTGGAAAACTACTTAAAACTTGTTTACTATAATCACTTGCGTGATTATTAGAAGAGACAAATCTATTTGAATGTTTTTTCCCCTTTTTACAGTGAAAACCTTTGGCAAAGTCTGAACAAGTTTCTCTATTGCTAAAAAGGAATAATTAAAAAAAAAGCCCCAAAAATTCAAAGTTTTCTCCCAGAAAGAACAGACAAGTCTAGTCAGCAGCTTGATAGCCTTCACATAAAAGAACAGGCTCTTATTCTCCCCCAAAACAACCAAGTTCACACATATTTCTAAATATTTACAACAGCCATTTTTCAATATAAGCCCATGCCTAATCTCCACCACTCTTCCCCAATGTAAAACTGAAGTAGGCCTTTGAGGATACGAATTTAAACATCTAGTTTAAACAAACAAACAAACAAACAGTTAATTTGGGCAAATTCCAGTACTAGAAAAAAATCTAACTATTTAAACCATGGAGATCTACTAAATATTTAAAACGAAAACCAGGACATTAACAGCAAAGTTCATTACACACCACAAATACTTTGTATTTATCCAATTTTAAATGGTATCTCTTCATAGTGCCTTCTATACTCCTCAAGGCAAGTATATGTTTGGCACAGTCTAGCATCAGCTGACACATAACAAGCAACATCTTCATTAGCATCTAGATGTGCTCTACTCTAAATGTTAGAATTCAGAATGCAAAAACAGAGCAATGTAATTCAGCATACAGAAGCTGAACATTAAATACCTACCTGTCCCAGTCGTCATCTCCAGCTCTTCTTCTCCAAGACCTTTCTGCACCAGGCTTATCAAACTGATCAAAGTCATCATCTGTAAAGAAGGTGACTATATTAAATAATTCTTACTGAAATGAAAAGTTTCTGAAGCAACCACATAGGTGGGATTTTTAGGAGGGGGTGTTGTTTTTCAAAAACCACAAAAATACATTTTTTCTAATTTCCATGTTAACATGAGGAAAACAAATACCACCACGCTTCAATAATAAAAACCAATAATGTACTATACAGCTTTCCCTCTTTTCACTATTGAGGCAAGGATGACACAAGGAAAACAGAGCACAAGATAAATCAATCACTGGAAAAATTTGCCAACAAAGGCCATTCCAGAGACAGCAGCTCTGCCAGATCTCTGCTTGCCCTGGGGGCCACAAGCCCATCTACCCACAATGGGCCTGTGAAAGAGTAAGACTCAGGTCAGCACAAGGCAGGACAGTACCAGCAACTCAAAACAGAAGAGAGAAGTCAGGTGTAATACACCATCAATTATCTCAACTGGGGCATTAAAAACAGTAGAAGTCAGTGAAGCAGGTTACACTGTATACCTAAGCATACACATGCCTTACAAGATAAAACTGGTGCTCCATATATTTCCCTCAACAAGTACCCTCACTTCAGCCTATCAAATCACATATTACTCTTGCGTAGCTTAGTTCACAAATTACAATTTTACTAGTCAAAATATTAAGTCTTCCATTTATCTGCAAAAGAAATGTAAAGCTCAACTGCTCTGTTCAGACATGCAGATATCTCATCATCTATAAACTGGAAGCATCTGCCTTCAGAAACACTCGACCCCTCACTGCCTGTGCTGCGGCTACAGCCCAACAGATGTGCACTACTGGATTTAGTCTTTTCACACATTTTAATGACTTTTGTGAGAGTCAAACAAATCAGCAAATAAAAGTTATGCTCAACACAGGGGGAAACTGGCTGCAGTTTAATGGCCTGCAAAATACAAGGGGTTGAGCAATTCAGCCCTTGCAGTCTCACAGTCTGAACTGGTAATCACCAAGACACCATATATCCATTCTCCTGACTATTTGCACTCAGCTTTTTGACCATGTACAATACCAAGGATCAACTGAGATTGTCTTTGTTTTTTTTAATGATCCTTCAAAACCAAATGTGTCTCTAGCATTTTAAACCCAACCCAGTATCCTTTAGTAAATATTCCCCACACGCAATGTCAAAGCCATTCACTTCTTAACTTTATATAATCAATACAGGTGTTAAGTGACCAATAGAGTTTAAAATGAGGTAAAAACAGTAAGAAAATTCAGTTCTAGCAATGTCACTAAATTAAGAGCTTTCAAGCCAGAAATTTCAATCATAAATAGCTATGAAAATAAGACTGCTCATTGTGAATTATGATGCAAGACAAGTGCAGCAACTCTTCTGTTTTGGAACAATAGGTAACAATCCTCCTTGATCAGGTTCCCCCTTTTACTGCCTACAGATACTTTTATATTTTAACTAATTCTATATTTAAGTTAATTTACATGGGCTAACACCGTTGAACAGTTGTTTTGCCTTTCTCTGCTCAAACATCTACATATTGCAACCTCATTCTATTACAATTCCTATCTCATCCACAGAGGAAAGACAGACACATATACAAGCATTTACTATCTTCCTCTTAAACACTAAATTATCCAATTTCGTTGTCTCTGAAAAAAACACCACCCTGCTCATTATGGTCATTCAAAACCATGCTGCAGGGATCATCTTAATGCATTGCCATTTTAAGGGCACAAATATCCTGCATTGTCATTGTTCTTACAGCTGGATTGCAGTAATCCACTGACTTGATGCAACCACATCCAAAGACTTATTTTTTAAGGTAATGGAACTAGTTTTGCAGTAACCCTAAATATGAGCATCCACATATTGACTAGCACAGCTTAAGACAACAATCACTATCAGGAAGACAGTAACTTCTTTTCAAGTTATGCCTGCTTGCTTTTTTCATGACAGGCACCAATTTTAGAACTAGAGTGCTGTATTATAAACCACTGCTTGCAGACAAGATCTTAGCTCTTCAGCACACAATTCTTACACAGAGGGACCTTCATGTCAGCCAGGCTTAAATCTAGATAAAGTTACATGCCAAACCCTTTTTCTCTGTTGAGATCTCTCTACAGAAAAAAGAAACATTCTTCAGTATAATTCATAGTACTCTTCCAGGCCAGACAGTTAAGTTTGATGGCCATAACAGTGCTCCAACCTAGCATTACTGCTAGTGAAGAAACAATTCCAAAAGAAGGTCCAAGTTCCTGCCAAGTTTCAAGTATAGACTTGGACCCCCACTCAGCCAACATCACAAATCTTCACCCTCCAGCTTTTCCAAGCCCTTCAAATTTCTCTTGTCCTATTCCTTATTTATGAGCAACTCCTACCAAAATCCAAAGCTGAATTACATCCATGCAAAGTCCTTTTCATGAGTTCCCTATAGCACGATGCACACAAAAGCCTCAAAAACTACTGGTCAACCTGTATGTGGTGACTGCAACTTGTAAGAACTACTCCACATATGTCCCTGCCACTTCCCTATTCTCATCTCTTGTCTCCCTGTCACATCACACGCTTACAATATAAAGATCTTTGGGACAGAGGGAGCCAGCTTTTCTTTTTATGCTTATTTGTTCTGCGACAGCTGACACTGACAATGAGCATTACAAATTATGCCATTTTGACATTAAGTGTTGTCAGAGCCCAAAGCAGGCTGTAGCTCTCCTTTAACAAAGGAGGTCACAACAGTCACACACATCTACAAATGGCATTCATTGCCAGTTTCATCATTTGTGAGATCGCAAGCACTGCAGAGGACACTGGCTTTACACCCACAGTGTGATGTCATACCTAGCAAACCTCAGAGAGGCATCTTTTTTTTCATTTCTGAAACTACATATATTTTCATATTTTCTTCTACTTGTCTAGGCAATAACATTGAAAAATATCAGTAAACAATCAGTGTAACATTTATGGATATATCTCCTTGAGAAACTCTTGTAAGTCAATGTCTGTGTCAAGCATGGTTAAGTGCCTGTAAAACATTAACTTGTACAGAAAAAGGAACACTCAATCAGCAGAGCACAAACCACCGAGAGCAACAGCCAACAATATTTTTTTTTTTAAATAATTTTCAGTACTACTGTGTGGGAGGTGAGAAGAAAAAAAAGGGTAGGGGCAAATCCATGAACATAAGCTTTTTAAGCAGGAAATGCCCATTGGAGTGATGTTTTGTATTTCTTCCAGCAGTCTCAGTGCAGCCTAGAAAGGCAGTCATACACAGCAACTGTTGCTAAGACATGCAATAGCTATGGCTCCTACTTTCACTTCAAAGCTCTCATGGCAAAGCTCACCAAGATGTGTGTGTTTTAGTTGAGTATCAACTGGAAGATCCTGACAGGTGATCACCAAACACAGTAAACCCCCTCTAACTTTCAGGCACCACTAGAATGAAAAAAACACCTAAGACCTATCAAATACCAAAAAAGCACTAACTGAATAAGGAAGCAGGCCAGGCCTGTTATAGAGGAAAACAAAATAAATAATCTACCACTTGGGTCTTCCTACTGCAGCTCTAGGAAAATTGCTATTATCAAAGTGACAGAGAAATTGCAGGATGCTGCACAGACTAACACTGGCTGTTTTGTTAGACCAGTCTGTCTCACAAGGCTCTGGCCAGCTGAGAAATAGAATAAGCACAAAGAGAGAAAAACACACTTGGTTCCCCACACTGAAAGGTTCCTATCTGCTTTATACTTACCCTGGTGTAGCACCATCAGTTCTCTAAGCTGTTCCATACAGCTTTTTTTTTTTGGTTTTATGATAGATGCTCTAAACTGTTATCTTTTTCCCTGCTTAACAAGAACAGATCATTCACACTAGAAATCCACAAAATACAAGCCTCATTTCCTCTTTGGTTATGCCGATGGTAGTTTCTAATTCTGTGGATACCCTTTCAATAAAACCTTCACTAATCATTTTTCCATGTAAAATGGAAGTCCTAAGCTACACAGTTAAGTCTCACAAGCGTAGGAGGTGAATCAGCAGGAACACTGCAGAGCTCTTAATGTCTTAAAATGGTACCAACATAGCCTAAAAAGGTAGTCCTACATAGCAACTGTTGCTAAGATGGGAGTATTTTACTGCAATGAGATGGCCAAAACTTCTGGACTAGAAAAAACATTTGATGACTGCATCGTTCATTTTTCTAGAAATACACCTGCACACTTTCTTGAACACTAACCACATGCTGTCTCATAAACCTTAACAGTTCAAAAATCTGTAATTTGGTTCGCTTCTGTATTACACCATCACGAACATAAAACATACTATTAGTTTTAGGCACTGAAAGAGCATCAAAGATTTCTCCTTATCCACAACAAGGTGGGAGATACCACAATGATTCAATAGTTCAATGGATAAAAAAGTATTACGCACTGTTTACCCAACAGGTCTTTAAATAAGGTAACCAAGCTGCATTGCTTTTGGGCAGAACAGGTAAGGGAGCTATTAAAAAGAAAACAAGAATAAGAAGGTCATTTACTACATGAAAACACATCACTTCTATATGCTTAGATTTAACGCTGAACAAGTCCATCTTGACCTATCCCATTCCCTGGTATCATATTTAAAACATTCAACGTGACAATTTGACAGCATTTCATGCACAAGTCTCCAAATTAAAAACAGCTTACCACCTTATCTGTGTTTAACAGTTTATTTTTACAGAGTATTTTTATTCATATTTCATTGTAAAAGGTTACACAACGTATAGGTATTGTAACATTTCAATCTTCAGGAACTGATCATACCCTTTAAAAACAGACCTATGTTTCTGCCCAATAGAGATCTGAATTTTGGTATCTCTTGCCACACAATACAGAAGAATAACAGGTTTCACGAGAAACAGCTGTGTCTATAACATAGGCCAGCAGCATAACTGTACTATTAACACCAGTTGAATGAAAACTTCTGGTAACAAACTGCAACAGCACCTAGCAGTAAAAACACAAGGTCAACAGG